AGAGTAGTCGGAGGGACCTCCAACAGCACAGGACATAGGGTTGGCAGGACCCCCGGCAGAAGAGTAGTCGGCGGGACCCCCAACGGGACAGGACATAGGATTGGCAAGACCCCCGGAAGAAGAGTAGTCGACGGGACCTCCAACGGCACAGGACATAGGGTTGGCAGGACCCCCGGCAGAGGAGTAGTCGGCGGGACCGTGCGGAACCGTGAATCCGTGCGTCATGCACGGATCCTGGGTAACCCACAAAGATGTCCACAAAGCGTCCCTGATGGTCACAGACGCCCTGCAACACAACGGAATGGAACAACTTCCTGTTGCAGTTGTCTGGACCATCAGGGCCACTTGGACATTTGATTCGGATGTGGCAGCCGTCAATTGCCCCAGCTGCCTTGCAAAAGGCTTGGTGGCGAGCCAACCGGGCAAAACCCTCACCAACCCCCTGTAAGTCCTCCGCGCCTGGGAGACGGACAAACTGGGGCAAGACGGCTACCACCTCATCCACCATCCTGTGGACAATACGGTGAACGGACGGCAGAGGCACATCGAACACACGGGAGACCATTCTGTATGCGGAGCCATAAACCATGACAATTCACAAACTAACTATGGAGTAATTATGGATAGTTCATTTACTTGATTCACATTAGAAAATAAAACTCGTACGGAAGGCAAGCGGCAAGACTTATTTAACTCACCCATTCTCCCAACATTGAATAAAACAATACATTATTTCTCCTACCTGAGCACGTCCTCCACAAAGGTGCCGACGAAACATCCTCCTCCTCCGAGCAGACAGATGCCGCCGATAGTCCCGCTCTATCTCTTCCTCATTGTTAATAAATGGCAATTTGGAAAAAATGGCAGTGGAAATAAGCACAAACGTGTCCATCGTTGGAATTCAGTTCTGAGTTTCCAAACAAATCGCGCTCCATTTAAGGCGGGGCCTCGGATATGACCCACACCTGGCACACTTGTTAGCCTGTTCCATTCTTCTTCGTTTTCCGAAGCCGTGGTTTCTGAAGGAAGTGACTTGGAAGTACGCGACTACCAAGCCAGCATCCTCGAGATTGAGAAACGGCCAGAGATTATAGAATTAAACAAATAAAAACAAGGATAATTGTGTGTTATTGTTGAGTAAATACCAGTGTGTTATTTAGAAAAGAATAACAATTTAGAAGGAAAAAAAGATTTAAAAAATACTGATTTCAGTATTCTGAGGCTCTGAGCCCCATTTCTTTTCCTCACGGACGGCAAAAAAAGTCCGACATTATACGATTTAAAATAAAAACAATAATCATGGCTTGATATCGAGTAAGAATATGTTTTTAAGAACCACACAGCTTCCGGTCTTCCAAGACCCGACCGGACAAAAAGACGTGGTGCAGGCACGAAACACACTACCAATAGAAATACATTGCTTTTAAAATCGTTCTGTGTGACACGAAAAAAAGGGTAAAATCGTGTTGGTGAACACGAATCAATAGATTAAATGTCGTGACTATTACACGAAATGCCGTGAGACTGGGTTGCATGATGGGTGCCCAGTTAACATCGTATGAAACGGATCTTGCCGATTTCATCTAGACATTATGGGGAAATGTGGAATTGTGGAGAGAGATGACTCTTACTCTGGGATAAATGCAATCGTTTTTTATTGAATGCATTTTTCACACACACATCACTCTAGAACTAGGGTTACAATAGAGAACCGCAGTGACGCGTCCTAAAACCCGGAAGTAAGTTAGCATTTTTACCACGTCCGGTTCCTTCGACAAAAAGCAATGCAATTTCTCCATAGGATTTTGGAAAATAGCTCGAAATAAGGTGTGTTTGACACAAATTGAAGAGACAGATCACGTTTTGTTCTACGACATTAAATACATCAGCAGTGACCCCGCTGGTGATTTTTGAAGAGTTTACGTGTCTGAAAAACGATGGTTGTTAACATGTGGCTGAATAGGACTACAGAAGTTGTCCAGGCCGTTTTACGTCATTACACCGAACACGTAAAACACTCCCGCTAAGTTTGTTTGCCCTGTTCTGCTTGAAAGCAAGTACCTGCCTCCTGCAAACTGTTCAAACAAACGCTTCAACTTGTACCATTTAGAATCTGTATGTTTCAATAATGATCTTAAGTTGGCGTGACGTTGAAGCAGCGACCCTGCTGTAGTTCGTTTATAGCATAACGTTAGTATTTTGCTTCTGCGACTAGATTTATGATTAGAAAATTATAAAAGTAGGGTAGACATGTGGATATTATCCGGCTGAACAAAACGTGATCCGTCTCTTAAATGTGTGTCAACCACAAACCTTATTTCGAGCTATTTTCCAAAATCCTATAGAGAAATTGCATTGCGTTTTTGACGAAGGAACCGGAAGGAGTTTACTTCCTGGTTTTAGGACGCGTCACTGCGGTTCTCTATACGTAACCCACCGTTCTTGCAACAGGGCCTGAATTTCTGTTGAGAGGAAACCTATCTCCTCCTGGGATGATAGATTTGCCTCTCTTACACCCCTGAATGGAGGAGGGACGCTGCAGAACTGGAGTGAGTAACCCAGTCGCAGTATCCTGTCCACCCATTCTGTCAGTACACAGCTGAGCTTCCATTCCCCATAAAACTGTGTTTTAGGGGACATGCAAGGAGCTGTGGAGCCGCAGCTAAGAAGCTGCAGCCGCCATTTTGCAATTTCATTGTAGCATTGTTTAATTAAACGCTATTAACTTGTAAATAAGCTTCGTGGATTCTTTCCAGCTAATCCTGGGCTCAGGGCTAAAAAAAAAAAACTACAGTACCAATTGTAGATTTTCCTCCAGTATAGACATATTGCTTTGGTTGAACATTTTAAAGACAAACGTATATGTTCATATATTAATTGGAGGTATAATGTGAAATCAATACAAGTTCAAGGTATCATGGAAATAATTCCTGCTATATTGTAATAGGCACTGCTGGGATTTGAAGCCAGGATCTCCTGTTTACGAGACATTCCCTGAGCAAGGCATTTAAAAAGAAAAGCATGTTGAGCATATCGAGGAAAGAAATTATGTATTCAAAGAAGTTTCTGTACGAATATTAGACTTACCTAAAGACATTTGATGAGTGATTCTAGTTTAGGATTACAATTGATCTAAAGAGATATCTTCTTTTCTAATCCTGTACGAGGCACTACTGGGATTTGAACCTAGGATCTCATGTTTACGAAACAGGCGCTTTGACCAACTAAGCAACAGCGCCTCTATGTACTGCTGAGTATTGAAACGCGTACGTTTAAGAAATCCAAATACCTTGCTCGTTCCATTCAAGTGCTTTATTCGAAAGTTCAATGATCAGCTGGCGGCCCACTACCGACTTGCAACATTTGCACGCTATAAACAAACAAATCCAACAGGCGTACGGATGTGTGCAGTCAAAAACCTTTTCCGACTTCCTCTCTAGTCTTGCTGCTGTGTCACGCTGGCGGCGTCATTTATACCTGAGAATGCGCACTACATTCTATAAATAATAACAAAACATCAAACTAGAGCAGTCCATAAGCCAAACAAAACGTTACAAAAACTGTATAATTATAATTTATAGTTATTCAGTTCATTTGAGTTAACTTAAAATATCCAATTGGCTCACCATGCCATAAATAATTACCATAAAATAACATGCCTAAATGGCTCTTATCTCGTTTAGGAACGAATATTAAACTTCACTAAACACATTTTTTGGGTGATTTTTTGTTTAGGATTACAAATGATTCAAGGAGATCTCTTTTTTTCATATACTCTACGAGGCACTACTGGGATTTGAACCCAGGATCTCCTGTTTACGAAACAGGCGCTTTGACCAACTAAGCCGCAGTGCCTATATGTATGGCTGCAACCATTGTTTTGAAGGATCCTTGAGCAAGGCATTTACAAAGACCAACATGTAGGTAGAAGGTCAATTAAGACTAGAGAATGCAATTCCTGAAGAAATTGCTAGTGGGAATGCTTTATGCTGAAAAGCTGACGCTAAACTGCTATGCTGAAATGTAATGTGTAAGAAGAAAGTGAAGAATTTAGATTGAAATGATACATGAACACTGGGGGCTTGAATGAGTGAAGAAAAGAAAGTAAAAAGGCTTGGAAAAGCAGCAGAATATTTGAACTGCAAACTTTTGAACTAACTTGATGGTGAATGATCTGTCGCCATGGCAACGGCATTTGATGACACCCCATAATACGCTTAGATGTGTTGATGGCTGCATCGTTACTAAACCTGTGAAGTTTTGGGCCGTTTGGAACATTTTCACTGAAGTTATGAGAAAACCGTGTTTCATGGCGAGCATTGTGTTGCCATGGCAACGGCATTTGAAGAAACCCCATAATTGACGTAGAGCTGTTGAGGGCTGGACCGGTGATATACAAGCGAAGTTTGGGGGACGATCGGACCGTTTCCATTGGACTTACAGCGACATCGTTAACACTGGAACTCCTGTTTACAAGACAGGCGCTTTGACCAACGAAGCCACAACGCCCTTTTAAATGTCTTCTCTAATATTAAACCTCCAACCATTTCAAAGAAGTGATGGACCTAAAACGATGAGGATGTTAAAGACTGAAGAGCTATGTTAATTTTGACTGTCTGTTGGTGCAAACTGTAGATTTGCCTCCAATAAAAACACATTGCTTTGGTTAAAAAATAAAATGAGATGGACAAAAGCTTTGACCAACTAAGCCACAATGCCTATGTGATCAATATCGTCACTTATATTAAACATCCAACAATATTAAAGAGGTATCATAACTGAAATAGTGAAGATGTTAAAGACCTAAATACTTTGCTGAATTTGATCTGTAAAGTTGGACAGCAGTTGGTACCAATTGTAGATTATCCTCCAGTATAGACATATTGCTTTGGTTGAAAATGTGAAAGACGAACGTATATGTTCATATATTAATTGGAGGTATAATGTGAAATCAATACAAGTTGAAGGTATCATGGAAAGAATACCTGATATATTGTACCAGGCATTGCTGGGATTTGAACCCAGGATCTCCTGTTTACGAGACAGGTGTTTTAACCGTCTTAGCGACAATGCCACTGTTCCTTCCTTTTCCCTATGTCATTCAAATATACACTGGTTGGATAGCAGTATCTTCCAGGGAAAAAAGGAAGAAAATCAAGTTGCATTAGATGTTCTTTTACATTTGAACTTATTCAGTGTTTATAGCCGTAACAGCTTCAACAGATTGCGGAGCCATGTGTTGCACACATCTACACACTAATTAAAATAATTCCTGGCGGGTTTCAATAATATCAAACATGTCATGGCAGCTAAGACCAATATGTAGATTATAAAGTATTAAAAGCATCTCAATCTGGCTCTGCCACTGAAGAACACCGCCTCAGGTTTGTATATATCTCAGTGTAAACATGCCAAGACGCAAATGAAGCGTTTGAATTGTCAGATCCAAAAATATGAGCATGACAGTGACGCGATTATATTGTTTACTTGACTTGAAGCCATTTAAGGGGAAATAAACTTGGGTAAAGCTATTAGAGCAAAGGCCGGTTACATCTGTTTGCCCCTGAGATAGCAGCATACTGATTGGTGATGCATCATGCAACAGTTGCCATTGGTAAAAACATATCACCCGAAGGTAAGTAAGTCAAGTAAGTTCAGAAATGTACATCACTCTATTGTAATGCAGCCTTTAGAACTAGGGATGGATGCATGGATGTCATTCAAAATCTCAGCTGATATCTAGTCTCATATCATGATACAGATAGAGTGTTGATAAATTGTCCAGCCCCAGGTTGCATATCGTATATGTATTATGTTACGCCCAGATCTAGGGGAACCTAGGCGCAACACAATGTTTGCACTCTCCGCACTTTTCCCACTCCCAAGAACATGGACACCAAGACAAAGAATGTCGTTTGGTAAATGTAATTACCAAAATTACAAAGAGGAGTAACAAAACCACAAAACAAACAAACCTTTTAACACAAAAATCTTACCTAACGAATGAGAAAAATAAACGTACTGGCTTCTAACCTACTCTAACGTAGAAACAGGAGAAAACGAATTTTCCAAAAGAAAAGGGTTTTGCACTCCTGAGAACAAAATAAAGCGTGTCTACAAAGACAGGTAAATTAGCTTTCTTTCTCAAGTCTCACAGCAAAAAGAGGAGGACAAGGTATACGGTCAAAATGCGAACACAGCACAACAGGACAGATATAAATGCGCAACAGTGTTTGGAGTAGGAGAAGTCTAGTCAGAGAGAGCGGCCGAGGACCTGCACGGCTGCAGCTTAATATGCTCCCGTCTCCTCAGGTGGACCAATCAGCATGCAGAAGGTAGCTAATCAGCTAACGGGCACCACCTGCTTGCTCACTCACACACACACACACTCACAGACACAGGAGGAGGGAAAAATATACACACAAATGACCTAACGACCCAGGGTTGTAACAATACATATAGACATTTAGGAAATATATTTAACAATATGATATGTATATATATGTCATCTTCTGTTATATTTAGTCAGTGTCCTTTCATTTCTTCCTCCATTATCGCTGTTAAGCTCTTTGATCAACTAGGTTTTGTGTAAAGGGCTATTTAAATAAAGTTGATTTGATTCAAGGTCAATTACTTTGCGGTGCTAAATTAATATTAAATTGGAACATCTAAAATCCCCTAAAACTATTAATATCCCCAATATTAATCTGTAAAATTGGAAGATTTATCTTTTATCTATCTATATCAGGGCTTCTCAAACTCCGGACCAAGGTCCGGATCCGGACCGAACTGCAAATCAATCCGGACCGAACCCTGTGTCCCATTATAAAAAAATTAAAAAAAGAATAAAAAAGAAATTCTGATTCTGATAAATTAATGTACATCATCATGTACGCGCGTCTTGTGTCTGACGCGTTGTGAGAATGAACGTGCATATATATTTACTTGTGTGCGCGAGCGTGACACGCATAGCAGACCGCAAGTTAACCGCAAGTTTACCTTGACATACTGTATGTATGTATTGAATGTGTGTGTGTATACAGGGGCGCCGTTTACCGACAGGCAAGGCAGGCAAGTGCTTGGACCAGAAGGGGGCCCCCAAAGAAGGTAGATTAAGAAGGTCCACAGCAACGACAACATGAAACACCCTTTAATTTACTACAACGACAACCCCCTCAAGGCCCCATGCATAGAGCGCCAAGAAACTGCTTCTTAATTTCAGTTTCGTTTCTCCGCTCGGGGGGGGGGGGGGGGGGGGGGGGGGGGCATTGATCCGGACCAGTGACCTTGTATAAAGTTCACAACTGGACCTTTAATAAAAAAGTTTGAGTACCCCTGATCTATATCATGTGACTGTGATGTAGTTCCTTAGCATTACGCTAGCTTAGTTCGTTAGCCATTTACTTCTGGTGATTGCATTTACGTACGTGGTGTTGATATATGGAGATTATCTTTCTGAACAAAATGTCTATTTGTCTATTTTTTGTCTATCAAAAAAGTGTGTTTGCCACAATATAATATTCTGCAATGTTCAAAACATTCCATTGCTTTTTGTCGAGTGATCCTTTGCGCTGCTAACTTCAGGGTCGGCCTTCAAAAATACGTCATCACTGCACCACTATTAGTGGTGCATTAGTTGTTAAAGGAAAATCATGATGTCAGCTGGAAATAGTAGTGGAGGAGCAAATGAAGAGAGACAGAGGATATACACACACACACACACACACACACACACACACACACACACACACACACACACACACACACACACACACACACACACACAGTTACAGCTGGCTGTACTTTTGCTAGTGTGCGCAACTCCTCGAGGGGAAGAAAGTAAGCAAATGTGCTTCATAAAAACAGATGGTTTAGAAGCCTAAGAAAGTTTCTCTCTAGTTCTACATAAATGTCTCACTGCCTTCCTCTCTCTTGCTTTCTTACTCTCACAATCAATTCCGTCTTTTCATCACTCTCTCTTTTGTACACCGTTGGTTCCCCCTCTTTCCCCAAACAGCAGATGATCTGACACCGTTATTGAAGGATTTTCCTTCAGAGAGAGGAGAACTAAGTGGTGCTCTGGGATATTTGTTTTCAAAGGCATCACTTCAACACTTGAGGGGCGGGAGAGAGAAAGTACAGAAGGATTGAGGTAGAGAGCGAGGGATGGTGAAAAGTGATATGATCCAAACAAAGAAATGATGCTGAACTAAGAGCCGTTGTAGTTGGAGGTTCTCTTTGGAGAAAAGCGTTTAGGCCGCTGGGATATTTGTTTTCCAAAGCGTACCTCTGAGCTTCAGGGGAAGGACAGAAGGAACAAAGAGGGATGAAGGGAAGAGAGGGGGAGGGAAAAAAGAGGACAGGGGAAGGGAAAGGATAGCCTGATGCGTGCTTCAAAGTCAATGCAAAATACTGCAGGATCCATAAAGTGTTGCACACCCCTTAAAGAAACACTCTGAAAGTTGAACCTGTACTTAACAACATTGAGGTTATGTTTGCAATATATCATTTCAAAGTTATATTAACCAAGAAGCAATGAAAAACACTGGCAAGTCACTTGCATCCTTTACAATACAAAAATACATCAATATATTTGAATTGTACTTTGTGTCAATAGTGTAACTAACAAAAATTATTTTTTACTTATAGTGAAAACCACCCTTGGATGATGGGTTAGTAGACTAAAAGCTTTAGGAATCCAAAGTACAACATATAATAAGTACCCTGTATCAAGATTGATGCAAAACAAGTGAAATTTGACCTTTTTAGAGAGATTTAGCAAAAAGAAACCACTTCTGGGGTCATTTGGGTGGATTTTCCACATCTCTGGCTTCCCTTGCTCGATTTTGATGGTTGACACCTCTTTCTGACCGTTAGAGCCAATAGAATCGAAGGAGGAGTCCCCCACACACACACACGTTGTGAAGAGAAGAGGTGGGGGCTTCGCGCATGTAATTTTGCATCAGAGTGGACCTATCTCTAGCTTTGACATCTGGAAACGGAAAAGCAGTTTTAATGCTTATGGATTATCAGAAATCATTTCAAAGGGACACAGACACATTGGATTAACCTATGGATTAACTTCAGCAGCGTTTTTATCATTTTAATGCCATTGAAGACCACTTTGGAGAGACTACAGAGTCAAGGTAAAAATGTTAGCATTTTTAGCTACCTAGCGTCACCTGTTTTGATGTCCGTTTTTGCTTATAACGTCGCAAATACGTATAATTCAGTGGTAATGTCGGTGTCGTTAGATTCTGTGTCACCTCACGATGTGAAACTATGTGGATTTTCGGTGCAGTAAGGTGTTAGCATTTTTCGCTCGTTGCTAATTCAGAGGCTCAGTGTTAGCATTGTGGGTTTTCTTTTGAAAAAAAAAAAAAAAATGATCAGTTAGATGAGTTTCTTCCCGTTACATGGATATAAAACATTCATAGTTTTATTAAATGAACATGCCCTCAGACACTGTTTCCTGCAAGATGTTGCGGCAGTACCCCGGTACTGGGGTCTCTCGGGCTTAACAGGTTAATGGAACCGAGCGGTCATTCGTAAAAAGTTTGTTCTTAGTTGTTCCACCTGTTCTTGTGTTCTTATGTTTGCAGATAAAAAAAAGTTTAATGTGGTTTCTCCCGTCCTGTCTTTTCCAAATGGTGGTATGTTTGACAGACACCCTTATCGCTTTCCTTTTTTTTTCGCAGCTAACTACTTGTGTCAAAATCAGCAAAGCTAGCTACTTTAATAAGAACCAAGATGGCAACACTCCACTGTACAGTACAATTGTTTTGACAGTTGGGATAGAAACAGCAAATAACTTTTTTGTAACTGGGGATGTTTACCAGGGGAATGGTTGTGTCTTAAATGCTAACCCTTGATATGTGGAACTTTTGCGAGATATTTAAGGTTGGGCGTCGACCTACAATAGTAAAGGTCAGGATAGGTTGTCTAACAGCAGGTCTGTGGTTGTGTATCGATGCAGCCACATTTTTTACTGCTTGTATCTGATTAACATTATGTATTGATTTATCTTTACAGCCCTGCAATTTCCCACAACATTTTCATGTGCCGCTTGGATGA